ATTTATAGTAGGAAGCAACATCTTTTGAAAGGTAAAAAGTTGTTGGAACCCATGATTCATTGAGGTAATGTTTTTTTTTTTTTTTTGGTGATTTTTGCATAACTTTTATAATATATATATATATATTGCATGGTATTTATTTTTGCATGAATTTGCATGATTAATATCATATTTGCATGATAATTTATTTGCATGATCAATATATTTGTATGAATTTAATTTAATTACATGATTATTAATATATTTATTAGCATGATTACCTAATATATTTATGTGTGTAATTGCATGATTTATTAATTTAATTCTATGTTTATTAATATATTTATTCACATGATTATCTAATATATTTACGTGTGTAATCGCATGATTTATTAATTTAATTACATGATTATTAATATATTTATTTGTATGATTATTTAATATATTTTTGTGCGTGATTGCATGTTATTAATATATTTATTTGCATGATTATTAATAAATTTATTTGTGTGATTTATATATATTTGCATGATTATTAATATATTTATTCATGTGATTTATTTGCATGGTAATTATATTATTGCATGATAATTAATATATTTGCATAATATTTTTGGCATGATTTTGGTTTTTTTTTTTTTTTTTGCATTATATTCAACATGATATTTGCATGATTGCATGATATTTTGATAGAATTTTTGTATAATCATATGGCGTAAATAAATAAAATGATTGGAATTAATAATTTGCATGATATAAAACCATTTTTAAAAGGCTTAGGTAGATAACACAACTAATTTGGTACCAATTCTGGGCGTAAAAAGGTGCTAGTACCTTCTCTGTACATAATCGACTCCTGAACTTTAGTTTTCTTGATGTAGACCAAAATCTATTCTTTTTAAGGACCTTTAGTTTATACTTAGGACAATTTTAAAAAAGATAAATTCATATAGGTGGCCAATCACACCTAACTAAAAAAGATTGATGGCAACTTTATAGTTTTTGTGTCTAATAAGTAAGTTCTCCTAACCTAAACATTATGACAAGTACCAAGCTGATACTTGAACAATTAAGCCCATTCTATTATATTGAATTCTCAAATTAATTTAAAACCCTCAAGTCAGTTCATTAAATTTAATAAACTGATCTTATTGTTTTATTCAAGCTGAAACTTTGATTATATGTTTAAACTAAACTATAAGATAAAAAACATAAAGGCATAGCTAAAACTTTAGGCAAAAAATATGTGTATTCATGACAGATTTATAGTCGAGTGATTACAAAAAATGAGTTGACAAAAGTTTTGTTGAGTGACCTTTTACATGTTTTGACATGATAGAAGTTTGTAAAGTGATTTGATCAATGGTTATTACAAAAAACCCAACCTCCCACTTGAACAAAAATAAACAAAAAAAGACAAAAACAAAAGCAAAAAATAATTTCTTCATTCTTCTTCTCTTCTTTTCTCAACAGCGATAGTAGCCCCCTTCTCTCCCCTATGCTTTTCAACCATAAGCTTAAGAACGACATTGAGGTTAGCATCCAGCATTGTGTTCTTATCTTATTGTCACCACTCTTTTCATAATCTCCATCTAATGACCTTTGTGGTGACCTGGATGTAATGTTGTCCAACTGATGTCAAAGAGATCAATCCAAAGATAAAGGAACCTCACATCATCTAAGACCAAGTCAAATGCCTTGTGCATATTCTTGGAGGCAAAAGCTTTTTATAAGTAGTAGTGGGCCTTGGATGCTATGAAGTCTTTCACTGCCTGCTCCTCAATCTTTTTCTTGATCCTTTTTTTTCAGCCTTCAACTCTAACCTCAGCCTTGCTATTTCAACTTGGGTCTCATTGAGCTTTTGGTTGGACATGCTAAAAGATTCAACCTTAGCCTTTTAAAACTGTGCCTCTTCTAAATGAGCAGAAAAGTCATCACATTTTCTTTTTAGCTTTTCCTTCTCATACTTGAGCTCAACCTTTTGGGCCTCAAGCTTGGAGATGGTGTCATTGCTCTTGTAAAGGTCTCGTTCATATCTTGTTAAGTCATGCTTTGTCTTGTGGTAGTAAACCAAAACTCAATATGTGTTGAGCAGACCTTGGCTAATCGATTGAGAGAGATAGGCTGGGAGACTGTTAGAAACTATGAAAACGAAAAATTGAGCTTAGACTTTGACAAATAATGAACTACACAATTCAAGGCAAAAATTAAGCTAAAAGACATACCCTTTTTAAGGATGGCAACTTTCATGAATTTTTTGGTCACTTTGAAGTTTTCGAAGGGGTTCTCATTGGAGTCATACTCTAAGCTGATAGAGCCGCACTATGAGCTAAGTTGAAAAACATGAACCTCAAGTGCTATTTAAAAAAAGAGGCTTCAGTCTTTTATCTTTTTTAAGAAAGGACCTTTCGACCCATTATTACCTTCTACTTTTGCTTATTTTTAACAAGTAGAAGCTTGAAGCTATAAAATTCAGTGGCTGAGGAACAAGTGAGTCAATTATTTTTGCCCTCCTTAAAAGAAGCTCCAAGTTGGATAAGTTGTTTCTTACCCTTCTTCGACTATGATGCATGCAAGAATCGAGAAAAGTTAAACTTTTTTAGAAAAACATATTTGTAAGATAAGCTAAATGTTAAAAAAAATCTATAAAAGTGAATGCTTTATGAGGTTACCTCAAACTTACCTAAATACTCAATTTTTTTTACTACATTAAGAGAGGTTAGCTCATGGGGGTCGATAACTAGCTCTCATTTGCTAGTGAACTCTAAAATTTTATCTCAAGCATTTAGGTTGGTTAGTGTCAAATGAGCCAGATCATCTTAAAAAATATAGGGCTCATTTATTATCTCTCATACTCTGGCTCTTTTTAATCATCGATCTTCTCGATGTAGAAGAAGAGTAGTTTCATCTTTTTATTGAACTTGGACAATCCGATAAGATTTTCTTGGCTGGTCGAGCTATAACATACTGCCAGTTTTTCTTATGAAAGTGTTTCTTAACCATAAAAAAATTTTTAAATAGAGGAACAGTTGGAAGAATATCTAGGTTTATACAAAGAATGATAAAAGTTGTTATGTACCGAAATAAATTTGGAATGAGTTAAGTGATAGTCAAATAATAGGAATTAAAAAATTTAACAATGAAAGAATGTAAAAAAAACATCAAACCAACCATTACATAGTCCAAATACACCCAGATTTGGTGATCTTCTAAGGAAGAAGTGACTCAGTTCCTTAGTGGTCAATGGTAATACTTTGTACCTTTTATTTAAAAGGTTAAAGTTGACCTTAAAAAATTGGACATGATAAGTAGAACACATGTTAGGGCAATCCTTGATATTAACCCTACCTTTTAAGCTTTTCATCATATTCTTAGGAAATGAACCTAAGCTATAGGAGGTGTAGAACGGATTCTGAGCTAAGTCTTGTAAGTTTAAAGAGAGCTCTCCTTGTGTTTCACCTCCTTCCTTGGCTTAGCTAGACCCTTCTTCTTACTCCTCATTAAAACCTTTCTTATCTTTAGAATCTTCATATTTAGAAAATGTAGACTCTGGAATAGTAGGATTCCAAACTCAAGCAATGGCGGAAACAACCACAATATTGGAGAAAGAAGAAAAACAATGAGGTTCCTTAGACAAAGGGAAAGAATCAAGAATAAAAACTATTACGAGTTTGGCAGGCTTCAAAAAAATAGAAGAAGGAACCAGAATGGGCTTAGAAAAAAGAGGAATAGCAAATAAAGATAAAAGATCAACCGAAAAAGCCAAATTGACCTCAAAAATGGGTTTAGTTAGGGGGTTTTCAATGTCAAAATCAATTGCGGCTATAAGTTCATCTATCCCATGATTGACCTGCTCTCCCCTAATACGAGCACTATCTTCGACTCTTTTTTACTTTATGATTGTCATTAAATTTACCTAAAAAGCTGGCCTAAAGTAGTCCCTTCTTATAATAAAAAAAAGTGACCAAATCATCAGCTACCTAACCTTTGAATTGACCTCTTCATGGCTTCATTTTATAACTTTTAACACCACTCTCCCCAGATTCAAAATAAGATATTATAAAAAAAAAAAAGAGAAAACGATACATACTAAGGAAAAAATAAAAAAAAAGATGATCAAGAGAAAGATAAAAAGTTTTAAGTTAAACAAATTAGGTTAGCCTGAGAATAAAAAAGTTGTAAAAATAAAAAATGAAGGCCTAAAGGGCCCTTTATATAGCCAAAACAAATATCAGATGATCATTTTAAATCACACCACGTGTCCCTAACGTCTAAAAAGGATAACCATTCACCTTCGTAGCTCTTAGTTTCTACCACCTAAATACCTTTTTCCTTATTAAATGCAATTTTCAGATAGCAAAATGGTATATTGGTTATTTCGCTTATCCAAACCAATAAGACTGATAAAAAACTCTAGGCTGGATCGACCAAACAGGCCAAATGTCAGGTCAACCTTGTAATAAATTGGAAAATCAATTTTCAATGCCAAAAAAAAAAACACAAGTCTTACATCAGTACGCACCATGTCAAACACATAAGTCATATCAACAATTACTCATAAGTTTTTGGGTCCAACCTCAACCCACCTTGATACAAGGTCACTCACCTTAACAACTGTAGAATAGATCAATTAAACGTATAATCTGAAACCCACGCTCAAGGTCAAGTTCAGCACCTTTGATCACATAGCAAGTTGGCATATTCCAAATCGACAAAGTCCACAATGTACAGTTTGATATTCAGATTGCTCGATGGGGGAATGGAATGTTAGGGGTATTTTTGGGTTCTAAGGTCAAATTGGTCATTTCTTTTATTAGAGACTATCAACAAATAGTCAAGAATATTTTTGACTTTTGAGCCGACTTGACATGTCAGGTTGACCTAACATGTTAGGTGACCTAACATGTTAGGTTGGCCTGACATGTACAGATCCACATCAACTTGATTATATCACTATTTTGCCCCACGACCTTCACCTTTTGCCTATAAATAGTCACTCGGGTACTATCATCCAATCTTATTTCTTTTACTTTTCTTATTTTTCTTTTTCCTTTCGATCTTCTACAACCGATCATTGACTTAAGTATAAAAGTGCAAACGCAGAAAACACTTCCTATTTTTACCCTTAAATTCTCTCTTTTTTTGTTGCGATTTTAGGATTTTGGCTCTCAACTTGGATCTCGGCACAATAGTTTTCTTGTAGGTTTTCACTTAAACCAATACCAGGATTGACGTTTGGCCGCTTTGCCTAATGAGATGCGCAATGCAATTCGTGTTGTTATAGCTGGTTTACACCTAACTGGTCCAATTGAAACTCTCATTAACAAAGTTTTGTTTGGAACAATAACCCAGGTATTCTTCTATACCCAGAATCGATAAACACTATGCAGTTGAATAAATATCTTTGTTAAGTAGAAGAGAGTTTCGTTTGAAAAGAATTCTTGATTTGCAGGAGCCAACAGCTATCAACATCAGAGAAATTGACATCTTCTCAAAGCAGTTTTTGCTGTAGTAATTTCCTTGGATCTTGCAAAAAAATTTCCTGTGAGGGATCGAGGATTTATTTTTTCGAGGTGCCCTCTTATACATTAAAAAGATTATACCATACGTAACTTAGTTTGTCAAATACTAGGTATTTTTATGAACTATTAAAAAGATTATACCACACGTAACTTAGTTTGTCAAATGCTATTTTAGTGTTTTTATGAACTATTCTTAGATAATGATGGTATGTTTAACTTGTAAAAAGAAATCTCTTGCAATAGATCTCGAGACTGCATGGATTTACCAAGATTTTTCTGATTTCTCCTTTATGAACATATTTGGATCATGACTAAAAGAATATACTTGTATTACACCATTCAGCAGGTTCATATCTATGTATACAACTTAGTTAATATCCTGATGATGAGTAGACTTATTCTTGTATTACACAAGATATTCTTGTTTACATCTTCAATGGAGGAACCAATACCAGGATTGACGTATGGCCGCTTTGCTTAAGGCGATGCGCAATGCAATCCGTGTTGTTAAAGTTGGTTTACGCCTAACTGGTCCTATTGCAACTCTCATTAACAAAGTTTTGTTTGGAACAATAACAAAGGTATTCTTCTACAGCGAAATTGACAAATACTATGACAGTTTTGAATAAATATCTTTGTTAAGTAGAAAAGAGTTATGTTTGAAAAGAATTCTTGATTTGCAGGAGCCAACAGCTATCAACATCAGAGAAATTGACCACTACTCAAAGCAGTTTTTGCTGTAGTAATTTCCTTGGATCTTACAAAAAATTGCATGTGAGGGATCCAGGATTTTTGTTTTTTTTCCAGGCGCCCACTTATGCATTAAAAAGATTATACCATACGTAACTTAGTTTGTCAAAAAAGATTATACTATGCATAACTTTGTCAAATACTACATAGTATTTTTATTAACTATTCTTAGATAATGATGATATGCTTAACTTGTAAAAAGAAATCTCCTGCAATAGATCTCGAGACTGCATGGACTTGCCAAGATTTTTCTGATTTCTCCTTTATGAGTATGTTTGGATCATGACTTAAAAGAATAGATTGTATTAAACCATTCAGCAGGTTCATATCTATATATACAACTTATTTAATACCATGATAATGAATAGACTTATTCTTGTTTTACGTAAGATATTCTAGTTTACATCTTCAAAGGAGGTACAAGAGCTTACGAGAAGTGGTACACCAGCGAGCGTACGATGTATGGAGGTTGGGCCAGTCGGAGGATGGGCAATATGTGAAGTGGTGAAGCCACAGGGAGAGTACTTGCTCTTGCTCCTCTTGTTGTAGCATTTCTATGGTCTCTTCCAATACCTTCTCTAGCTCAACTCTTTCACTTATGCTGAGCACTGGCACATCAGTGCCGTTGCTAGCTCTGCACAGCAATGGCAACCATGACGTTAGCATCTTCATCTTTGTTTGCCTGAAGCTCTCTTTGTTGCCTTCTTCAGTCTCTTCCATTTCCAGTCCCACATTCTTGGCTTGTTTGAATAAGAATGCTGCATATTTGAATAATTAAGCAAAAACAATGAATAACATCAATCTTATATTTTCAAAAATTGGAATATATTCACATAAGAGACTTTGTTTGATGCTCAAACTTGTTTCTGTTGAAAAAATAACTATGGTAATTACAAATTTCAACTAGAACCTCCCAAATTCATTTATCAAATTAATCAAAAACTTTCTTTTGAGTCCTTATCCTGTTGAAAGACTAAAATGGAGACTCACCCAATGGATCATGATCTTTACTGTCATATGATTTAACAAACATGTACAATTGGTGTCGGTTGCAGATATTTGAAACAGGGTGAAATAGAGAACTGTCCAGTAAATTTCATAGCTTAATATTCAGCAATTCCTCTTATAAAATTAGAAAAAGACAATACAAGTAGGTCTGAAAAGATGAGAAAATGTAGATCGTTGGAACTTAAAAGATTAACGGTGGGAACTGGGAAGCAGCCAAAAAAGACCACTAAAATATTGGTCAAACAGCATTAACAGGTTTCAAATTTGGCATAAAATAAACCAAGCGCCAGAAAGAATAAGTCCCTCCTCGTAGAATAATCTTCAACACTAAGCACTAATCAGCCAACAGAATAGGTGAAGGAACTAAGACTTAGCAATTACTTAGGCTAAAGGCCTAGGCTTTTTACAAAGTTTTTTTTTTTTAAGGGGGGGGTAACCCCATAACCATTTTTTAACAAATACGACATCAACAGCTGAAACTTGAGCAACAAAAAGTCTTCCAGGCTCCAGTTCATGCAGAATCAGGCAATCACTCGGAGAAGTTAAAAGCTCAATTTCATGAATTAAACGCCAACAAACTAATTGCTTAATCATAAATATATTGTAATTGGGATTCTTATTCAAATCTACATCAAACTTGGAAAAGTACCGATTTAACAGAGGAAGAAGATTGGGGAAACATACCCGAAACCTTAACCAGGGAAGCTTGAACACGCGGCTCAGCCAAAAGAGAAAGCCAAGCCAAATTTGAAGCTAATGCCCAAATCTCAACAGCCTCTTCCTCAAATCCGCAAGCAACCAATTTCTGCGCCAACCAAAGTAGCTCAGCAGCCAGTTTCTCAGCCGAATTCCCTGATCGGTTCACATCCTTCCTCCCCATCACGACCCTAGTCCACACCCCATCCCCAATTGATCGAACCGCTCGTAAAACCCTGTTCAACCGATACTGAACGGGTCCAGGTCCCGCACCATCATGACCGACCCCGTCTTGCCCCAATTCAACCATTGCGGCCTCAAGCTGGCAAAGAGTCCTCGAAAAAGCCGCAGACAAAACTGTACGGTTGACTTCACGTAAAGCTTCGATGTTCTCCCTGCTATTCTCTTCTATAAGTCTTTCCGCTAAAGATCGAACAATTTCATACTTTCTAGAGCTAACAGGAATGTCATTGACGCTAGAGAGTAGCTGTGAAAGAGCACGAGCGATTCCCGTGTCGCCAACCCCAGAAGCAGCGACATAGCTATCTTTTTGGGGGGGCTTAAACGTGTAATCATGGGATTGTTGAGAGCGTAAATTATAAGGGAAAAGAGAAGGAAATAAGCGTAGAAAGAAGAGAAAAGAACTGATAACAAGATAGCGAATCATTTCAAGGAGCTTGTATTTTTCTGCCAAGTTCAAGAGGGATTTGTCGGCATAAAGAAATACAGAAGTTACCATATTTCGAAGGAGTAAAGGAGCGATCATAGTTGCCGAGTTCTCCATCATGCCTATATCTTCTTTGTTTCTTCTTCTTGATTTTGTTGGCTTAAAATTGACTAAATCTGGTTTGTTTAAATAGAAAGCAAGAATTTTGAGAGGTTAAGAAATGAGGAAGAAGGAAGGATGAATTGGTAGGGCAACATAACGAGTAATAAGCACAAAGAGACAAGGGAGCTGTGATTTTTGCGTAGTTGAAAATGTTGAATAGGTTTGTGGGGGTATGTGGGAACAGTTGTTTTGGTCGGTGTTGTGAAACCCAATTTGGGTTAAGTTACAACTCTTGTCCAACTCAGCCGGAAATACAATAGGGCTTAGGCCCGTGTTGGGTAAAAAAAAAAAAAAAACCTTCCAATTTGGTTTAACCTGTAATTTTCTTCTTTTTTTTAGAAAAGCGAATGATAATTAGGATAGAAATCTTAGCTTTAAAGGAAAAGTAAATACCACACGTGATTTCCGAATTTTGCGCCGAATATCATTTTAGTCTCCACTCTCCAACCTTCAAAATGTAATTTATTAATTTTTTTTATTGTCAAAATGTGTAACATTTTGATCTTTCTATCTATGTATTTGTTGAATTTGACGTTAAATACCATTGGTAATTACGAAGTGAATGACGTACTTTTTTATTTTTAAAAAATAGTTTTAATAGTTGAAAATATTTTTGCAAAATAATGAAAAAATCCATTAAAGAAAACATTAACCATAGACAATTCACAATAGCATTCTCTCAGCCTCTGATTTCCTTTTACTTGACCTGAACACGATGAAATTCAAGCCATATTTCTTTTTCTTCTCTCTCATCACTTTTTAATCCTCTTTTCTCTTATTTTGAGCACACAAATCCATCAAATCACATCAAATATTGGATAAACTTAACACAAAACACACATAATCATAGAATCACACCACTTACTAGGATTCTAAAAAAAGCTCTTTTGTATAGCATTTAACTCCCACAGCGTAGCATTTAGCTTTCATATGACTAGTGACTTCTCTTATACTATTTGTAAAAGCTTTGCATCCAATTTGTGAGATATTATCTGCTTTGACCTGAAAGCCTCACGATTTTATCCTCATAAAAAATACCTCGTAAGTTTAAGATTAGATTTTAACTTATATATCATAGCGAAACTTCAAATTATTCCAATATAGGATTGAGATGTTAAAGTTACTGTGTCTGAAAATGAAAAAAATTAATGTTTGTATTTATATATTTAAATATTTATAATATTCAGTTTATGAATTTAAATTTGTTTTTTTTTTCAATATTTTTTTATTTAATTATAATAATAAATATTGAAAGAAATAAAAAAATAAAAATTTTAATTTAGCAACATTTATAGTGAAAAATGTGATTAAATTACAAAAATTAGCAACATTTATATCAAAAACAGCCACTAAACTTAACAACATTTTTGTGCATAAAAGTCACTAAATTACAAAATTAGGAATGTGTGTTCAAAACTTCACAAAATTTGGCAACATTTTTTAACACCAATGCCACTAAGTTAGTGGCATTTTTTCTTCTTAAAATATCACTATTTTTCTTGACGTTTCTAGTGATATTTTTTGTAAATATCATGAATTATTTAATGGCGTTTACAAATGACACTAAACGTAAAAACAAAGTATCCCTAAAGGCCTATTCCCTCGTAGAAGTTTGTTAAGTTTTTTATAAAAAATAATTAAATAGAAACTAATTTGAAAATTATAACAGATAGATTAAAAAATCTAATTACATAAATCAAATGTGTAAAATTTTAAAAAAATTTAATAAATTTTGATATATTTTTAAATGAATTTTTTTAGTAAAAGTATTGATAAAATTTTTATCATTAAATAAGTATTGATCAAATTTGAATTATAAATAATTTTTTTAATTTTTTTACATACGATTTATTTTTACATTAAACTTTATCAATCTATTAATTTATATTTTTATTAAATTAATTTTTTTAAAATTTTATAAACTTTTTTTAAAGATCTTTATACAAATTTTGCCCATTTATAGAGTCTAAGATGAAGTAATTTCTCCTAATTAAACGCCTGAGGTTGGAAATTTAATGTTGTAAAAACTAAAACGAAACAGCTTAAACCTGCTTGATCTTAAGAAAATTAGAGAATTTTATGTCTTTCAGTATAGCCCCTGTCAGCAAATTTTCTCATCAACAAAATCTGTAGAGAAAAAAAAATGATAGAGAAAAAAATTATATTCGATACACTAATATATATTTTATTAATGATCGTATATGAATTTTGAATATTGAGGAATGCTAGCGATAGTCGCTGTGTAATAATCGCTTGTGAGTTGTCAATAAGATTTTACTGGTCAAGTGGTCACGTCATGTATTCTTTTTAACTTGTAATCAGTACCCTAGTGTCCTAGTTAACTTTTTGTTTTTATTTGATGAAAGATGAAAGCTGGTTTCGTGTAAAAAAGTTGAAAGTTGAAAGCTATTTTTTTTTTAATAATTATTGAAAATACTGAAAGTCCAAATTATTTTTATCTCAAATAATTTTTTAATAAAAAAATTCACATAAATCGAATAATAAAATAAAAAAATTATATTATATTTTAAATTTTTATTTTTTTATATATGAAATAAATTAAATAAAATTATCTAAAAAATATTCAAATATCAAAATATTAAATTAAAAACTTTAATAACTTAAAACAAAATTGACAAATTCATATATTTTTAATTTATATATAAATTTTCTAATATTTTAATTAAAATTTCAAAGTTAATCAAAAATGAAAAATTTTAAAAATCATTCGATAACAGATTAAAAATAATTCGATAATTGATTGATTAATAAAATTAAATCAATTCGATTGATTAATTTAATTAAAACTAAATTATGAATATCATTATCTTTGTACAATCAATTCTTTTTATTCAGAATTTTTCTCAACTCAACCTCTAGTTTCTTGAATCATGATCAGTGTTTATCACAAAATATTTTAATACTAAATTCAGGGCATCTGATCTCTCTATCACTCTTTTATTAGTAACAATACAAAATGTGTTTTAAAAAAAATAAAAATTCCTACTTTATTTAAAAAAAAGAAAAAAAACATTTTTTTAATGTAAACAACATAAAATCAAATAGAATCAAATACAGAATGTTTGGATTAAAAAAAAAAAAAAAAACTAGGTTATAGCCGGTTTGAAGACTTCTCCAATTATGAAGAAATTTGAGAGAAAAGGGATCTAACCAATTTTTTTTATGAAGCTTAAAATTTTCTTGACTGCTAATAATAGCTAGGGAAGATTAATGATTGCAAAAGAGGAAAGGTGGGTCGATCCTGCCTTTTTAAGCTTTAGTTTCAAACTTCTCTCAAGGACACTGATGTTGAGAGGCGCTTATTGGTGTGAGTGCAGCTAGGATTCCCCTTTAATGTTTCATTTGTATCAATGTCTCATTTGCTTTAAAATATAAAGCTGAAAATGTATCTTTTGCCTTTTGAACTAATAATAAAGATATTTTAAGGTTGATATAAGAATTTGGATTCAAATCAAGTTTTCTTTATAACAAGGCTTTGCTTTTTTATGAATTAAAAATATATATATCGTCTTCAACTATTTGATTTAGTAATCAAGTAAATTTTAAAAAGACGTAAAGTTAAGGTTCGACTTTAGCATTTCTCTTTTTTTATTGGAGGGCTTTGTTTTTCTTAATATATATATATATCAAAATGTGTCCATGAGAAAAAAATTGGCACACCATTTTATATTTGTTCTAGGTCTAGGGGTAATCAGATTAATTTTTCTCTTATTAAAACTAAAACATAGCAATAGAAAAAACAGAGTTATAGGGAAATTTAATCTTATATCAATGAAATCTCCCTGTATTTGAGCTTAGTATAATTTATGTTGAATATATCTAATTATATGCTAATTCGTTGATATTTAAATATAATTGCAATTTCTTTTATACTAATAATTTCATTAAATAATTTGTATACTTGCCACTGCAATTGGTAAAATCAAAACTACTTTTACTATAAAAACAAACTAGTAGACAAATAATACTAATATATTTTTCTTATCTCAGTTATTCTTTCTATAATTTTTATTTTTTATTAACTATATAGCATCTCAAATTATTGCCATATTATGTAAATTTAAATGTTTATTTTAATAAATTAATTTTATTTTCAAATATTTTAATAAAACTAATTTATGATTTATCTTATATTAATACTTGCATTATAAAAAAATTTTAAATTTTAATGCAATCATATGAACCCACCATTTATAACTTTATAAATAAGGTGCCATCGTCCCTGCCATTAAACCAAATCAAACAAAATAATGCAAAAGTGGAACCAACATCAAGTTGACAAGATTCAAATGATATGGACATGCAACAACCAACCACCATATTAAAATAAATGTTTTTTTTTGGCACATTAAAGAACCCTTAGCTGGACAAGAACGATATCCAAAAAAAGAAAAAAAAAATCACACACACACATGGTTTTAAAACATTTTCTTTCTTTAGATAAGTTACGCCGAGACAGCATCGCTTTCCCACAGATCTAATCGTACTAGTATTTTCGATGATGACAAAAATGCTGTGCGCACACCACGTGCTGTTGTATAATTGAAGACTGAAAGCAGTGTTTATATGTATTTATTAGTATTTGTTTCAGTGCAATTGTTTTCCCAAGTTTGACGTGTTGCTCCATGCTCATACGGCTTCTATCCACCATCCCCACCCACTGCAATTCATATAAATGAAATATATAAAAGAAAACTTCTAGCCAGCTGCATGTTAAATAATTTATTAATAACAGATATGATTCTTTATCCCGTATATGCATTGAACCTAACGGGGGAAACAGAGCTTGTTATTGGAAATTGCATTTTGATTTTTAATTCTTCAAAAATTTATTTAATTTTACATAATTCAATTAATATTTTATTTTTTACTTTTAAATTATAACGAAGAAAAAAACAAGAAAAGAAAAAAAATTGTATTTCTCTTTTTAATTTCAGTTCATGAATCCAATAGCAAGAAAGCATCGTCAATAATTGCAAAAAAAAAAAAAAAAAAAGAACAAAACACGTGTGTTCGCCTGAACTCTCTAGTACCAAAACTTTTTTAGTAAAGAGTAGATGCGTGGATATAAAATTTTTCATAATAAATAAATATTTTTATATATAATGTGTAAGAGTTATAATTTCTTTGAAAAATAAAAAAAAAATCAAATTGATTGATCAATTTTTTTTTTCAATTTATTACATTAACGCGGAATAGTAAGTAATAAATCCGTAAATTCCCTGTCAAAGGATTAAGGAAGAGTTGTTTGCTTGTATTTTTTCCAATTTTAGTCAATTGTCTACTCATCCACAGGAACTGAAAAGTTTGATGTTTCCCATTGAAATACGGTGCCAAATCAAGCTACCGATGACATCATTTTGATTCATTTACAGTGAAACAAGGAGTTAAGAGTCCGCTTAAGCAAACGGCAGCTCAAACCAATATTTTAAGTGTATGTGAATAAATTTTTAAGCAAGTTTTATTTGGAAACTCATCGAAATTTTTTCTCCTATCAAAAAATATATTTTATAATTGATTTCATTTTTTTTTCAGTTTTCAAATGAAATCTTAGATTAAATAAATAATTGAGTTTATCCACTAATTAATTATATTTTTTTTTGATAAATCTATAAACACAATTCCAAAATATTTATGTGCAAATTAAAAACACTATATATATATATATAAGAGATCAGACATATCTATTTAAATAATTATTGTGAAATTATGAAAGTAAAATGATCCTGAAGTGATTATGATCTTCTTTTTCGTTTTTTTCTCTCCTAACGATTTTTTTTAATGAACAGTTATTAAATATGAAAAGTGAAAAGAGGATCGTAACTCATTATTTAAATAACCCTAATAATTTTCTCATTAAATGTTTATCAAATTAAAGGTCTACACAATTATTAAATTACACCAACCTATCTTAACTCATTATTTAAATAATTTTAATAACCTTCTCATTAAATGTTTATCAAATTAAAGATCTACACAATTATTAAATTACACCGACCTATTAAGATGTACAAAACTCATAATTAGATAATTAAATAAAATTGATTGCACTATCATATTTATCTCATATTAAAATTAAATTTATCAATCAATTTTATTAAATTAAAATCATTAATTAATAATAACTCACGAAAAAATCTAACAAAATCAAATTTAAAAAATGAGCTTGTTAACTACTAAATTTAATTCATTTGTATGCGTAGCATCATCATTTTGATTCTCCAAATTAGTTAGATAAATAAATTAATCTATATACGAAAAACAACATATCATTGGATTCGATACATATATATTGATTTTTTATGGTTAACAACATAGCATGTGACAATATATATTTTTTCTTTTTCTTGAATAATATAATTAATGTTATCTTGATATAAATCAATTTTCAAACTTATCACCCTTCTTGTTCACATTAATGCAAGTGTATAATATAACCACGTGAGATGTTCATAATTTTATTCATTTGTATGGATAGCATCATAGCATTTTGATCCTCCTGCTTTTTTCGATAAATTCGAGACTATGTATCATGCACCTAATGTTGAATTATTTTAGAAACTCTCGATTTGTTAACAACTTAGAATTTAAATTTCTTCTAATTAATGATTTTGATTTATAATTTTCTTCAAGTTAAATTTCTTCTAATTAATGATTGATTCAAAATGACAATTTATATATTGTCATTTATCGGTGCATATAATATATAAATTTATATATTATAAATTTTGTATACTATTTATATATATAATATAAATTTTATATTTTGTCAATGCATACGTAACTTAATTTGTCAAATACTACGTATCATTTTTATGAATTTTCTTATACAATGATGATACGTTTAATTTGTAAAAAAAAACCTCTTGCAGATATCAAGACCGCATGGACTAGTCAAGATTTTTCTGATTTCTCTGTTAGATATCTATTCAAAATTTAAATCAGAATTAGTTTGAATTTCGATGAAATTTTATTGGTTAGAGAATTATTTGATGATTAAATTTATATAATTAAGTCATGTTTGATGTATAAGATAATTGATATATAGGATGATAATCATTTTATATTATATTTTATTTATATTTAAAGAAAATATTGGATTATAAGAAAAAATATTATCCTCTTAATATAGGATAATTTAATTCTCTCAAAGTGGAGATGATTATTTTTAATTAATGATATTGAACTTAAATATCTTATTATATTCTTAAAAATTATATTAATAATTTAAATTATATAATTTTAAGCAATGATAATTGTGACTAATAAGTAAATTATTTTATTTTAATCCTTGCACACATAAAAAATAGGATAAAATAATATTATTTAATCTAATTTTATTATATTTTATCTTAACATATCTTGTGCATCAAACATGATCTTAATGGATAAAAATTCTTAATAAATTGATATTTTTGGTGATCAAATAATAAGTTTTATAAGATTTACGAGAAAGTGTTATAATCACTATTTTCATATGGGAGATAGGTTTTGCAAGGATATTAAAAAAAAAAAAAGGGAAAATTCATCAAATTATATAAGATAAAAAATATTTCATAGGTTACACACTAAAAAACGTGAAAATTAAAATTGTTTTAGAATGAGATCAATATTTGTTTTTTGTGTTATATGCTCTTTACAATCTCTATATTTACATTCGAGAATATAAGCAATTGAAGTCGAACCACTATGTGTGACTTCTTTTATGTTGATATATTACTACTTGGAAATTCCCAAAATTCTCCTCTATGAACATATTTGGATTATGACTAAAGAATTGACAGAATTATAGCATTTAGCAGGTTCTTTACCCATATATACAACTTATTTAATATCCTGATGATGAGTAGACCTGTTCTTGTGTTACACAAGATATTCAAGTTTACATTTTCAACGGAAGAACAAGAGCTTGCGAGAAGTGGTACACCAGCGAGCGTACGAAGCATGGAGGTTGGGCCAGTCGGAGGCTGGGCAATACGTGAAATGGTGAAGCCATAGGGACAGTACTTGCTCTTGCTCCTCTTGTTCTAGTTTTTCTATGGTCTCTTCCAACAATTTCTCTAGCTCAGCTCTTTCACTTATGCTGAGCGCTGGCGCATCAGCACCATTGCTAGCTCTGCACAGCAATGGCAACCATGACATTAGCATCTTCATCATTGTTTGCCCAAAGCTCTTTTTGTTGCCTTGTTCATTCTCTTCCACTTCCACTTCCAGTCCCATAACCTTAGCTTGTTTGAATAAGAATGCTGCATGTTTGAATAATTAAGCAAAAGTAGAGAACAACATCAATCTTTTATTTTCAAGAATCGAAATACATTCACAGAAGAAACTCTGTTTGACGCCGAAAGATGTTTCTGTTGAATAAATAACTGTGGCAATTACAAATTTCAACTAGAACCTCCCAAATTTATCAAATTAAGCATATACGTTCTTTTGAGTCCTTATCCTATTGAAAGATCAAAATGAAGACTGCCGATGCATAAATCATGATCCTTGCTGTCATGATTTAGCAAATATGTATAATTGGTGTTGATTGCAGATATTTTGAAAGAGGATGGAATGAAGAAACTGCCCATTAAATTTGATAGCTTATAAGACTACTTATTTAGCAATTCCTCTTAGAAAAGTTTCAGTTATGAAGGCAAATACTTACGCAAGTCTATTAGACCTCATTCGCAATCTCTTTGCACTTGGAGCAATGTCAGAGCGCATGAGATTACCAAAGAGACACGTCTACTGCTAGTTGAAGACCTCGAATATTTCCTTAATAAGGGTTTTACAATAACAATAATTGAATTTTGGGATTACAGAAAATTTCTAGTAATAATTTGTAGTTATCTTAGTTTATATGCTTAAATGTCAAGTACGGATAAGCAGCAGGCCATCTCCACCTAGAGCTATATATCATAAATGCGATATCCCACACCTAAAAAACGAAAATTTAGTCATTATTATAAACTGATCTAACTTCTATGCTAAGAATGAAACATGCTATGCAGCTGTGCTAAAGTAATTTAATTCTAACTCCCAAGGAATAAGAATGGTATTAATAAAGCAATCCAAGTTAAGGCCAAAAGTCAGAGTCATATAATTCACAAGGTGATTAATGGGGAAAAGACAACACAAGTAGATATGAACAGATGAGAAAATGTGGATCGTTGGAACTTAAAAGAATAACGGTGGGAAGCAGCAAAAAAGGACCACCGAAATATGGGTTCGAATTTGGCATAAAATAAACCAAGCCATAAGTCCCTGCTCGAAGAATATTACATCCGTTGGCACTTTCAGCCTAAAGAATAGGTGAAGGAACTAAGACTTAGGCATACGCTTTTTACGTCTTTTACGTCCATATGGGGTAATCATTTTGTCTTTTTTGGTCTGGGAGATTTCTGGGGTAACCCTTCTTTTAACCATATTGACATCAACAGCTGAAACTTGAGCAACAAAAAATATTCCAGGCTCCAGTTCATGCAAATCAGGCAATAAATCGAAGAAGTTAAAAACTGAATTTCATGAATTAAACCCTAATTAACTAATTGCTTAGTGATAAATTTATTTCAATTCCGATTCTTATTTAAATCTACCATCCAACTTGAGAAACTACTGATTTAACAGAGGAAGAAGAATGGGGAAACGTACCCGTAACCTTAACCAGGGAAGCTTGAAGACGTGGCCCAGCCAAAAGAGAAAGCCAAGCCAAATTTGAAGCCGATGCCCATCTCTCAACGGCCTCTTCCTCAAATCCACAAGCAGCCAATTTCTGCGCCAACCAGAGCAGCTCAGCAGCCAGTTTCTCAGCCGAATTCCCTGATCGGTTCACATCCTCTCTCACCCTCCCTACCCTAGTCCACACCCCATCCCCAACTGATCGAACCGCCCGTAAAACCCTGTTCAACCGATACTGAACGGGACCAGGTCCCGCACCATCATGACCGACCCTGTCTTGCCCCAATTCAACCATTGCGGCTTCAAGCTGGCAAAGAGTCCTCGACAAAGCCGCAGACAAAACTTTACGGTTGACTTCACGTAACGCTTCGATGTCTTCCCTATTATTCTCTTCTATAAGTCTTTCCGCTAAAGATCGAACAATTTCATACTTTCTCGAGCTAACAGGAATGTCAGTAATGCTAGATAGTAGCTGTGAAAGCGCACGAGCGATTCCCGAGTCGCCAACCCCAGAAGCAACGACATAGCTATCGTTTTGGGGGGGCTTAAACTTGTGATCGTGGGATTGTTGAGATTGTAAATCAGAAGGGAAAAGAGAAGGAAATAAGCGTAGAAAGAAGAGAAAGGAAGTGATTACAAGATATCGAATTATTTCAAGAAGCTTGTATTTTTCTGCCAAAGTCAAGAGGAATTTGTCGGCATAAATAAATATGGAAGTAACCATATTTCGAAGGAGTAAAGGGGCTATGGCAGTTGCCGAGATCTCCATCATGCTCAAGTTTTCTTTGTTTCTTTCTTTCTTTTGATACTGATGGCCATAGTTTGACATTGTTTGTTCGTATAGTAGATGGAAAGAAATTTTAAGATGGTAAGAAATTAGGAAGAAGGCAAGATGAATCGATAAGGTAATGTAATGAAATGATGAGCAAATCAAGACAGAGCCGTGATTTTGGGTCGTTGAAAATATTTAATCAGATGATGCAGACATGTGGGGGTATCAGTGGAACAAAGTTTTTTAGTCGGTGTTTTGTTTTAACGGGAGTTTCTGGTCTAACAGGCTTTGTTGTGAACCCAAATTGGTTTATATTTTACCACTCTACCTCACCTCAGCCTGATATGCATTTGGGCTTTAGGGGTTAGGGCCGTTCAGGTCAAAAAGCTTCCAATTGGTTTTAGCAATAATTTTTTTTTGAAGAGGGGACGATAATTAGGATATAAATTTTAGCTTTAGAAGAATATAAAAAGTATTGTAATAACAAAAATATTTTACAATCCGAAGACAGCATAAATCACACAATTAAGGCCTTCAAAAACTTCTTACTACCAGAGATGGCAAAAGCTTACTCAATTTAAAATATTTATTCGAATGATTTAAATTTAAATTTATGATCGATTTGATTTGATTAAAAAAATTAACAACATAATTTATTCAACTTATACTCGAATTAATCAAAATTAAAAGTCATCAGATCTTGAATAGATTCGAACTCAATTTACCTAAACTTGAAATAATTTTATTATGAATAACACAAATTATTTATATAAAATGATCCAAAATTAAATTGAACATTATTTTATTTTTTAAAAATATTAATGTAATTATAAATAATAAATATAGAGAGACATTTAAGTTAATTACTTTTAACCTTTTTAGAGTTTATACTTTTATATATAAATAAAAATATATATATTTGAAATGAATTTTACAAACATTGCATTGTACTGCTAAACTATTACAAATTTATATTCATTTCGATTCTTAACAGATAATTTTTTTTATGTGAATAATGCACTGAAATATTGTTATTTACTGTACTTTTAACAAATGCAAAAATATTTCAAAAAATATAGCATCAAATCTTTTGAGTTAGTTATTATTTTTAACAATTTGTTGGAGAAACTTTTGAGTTTCAACTTAACCCTTACTGAAATATTTAAGTTAATTCAAGTGGAAGCATTCAAATTTTTGTAACAGTGATTAACATACATGATCTTCTTGTTCAAACAGTTATGCTCAAATCTGTATTTCTTTCAAATTAAAATACATATTCTCCTTAATCTCTCTCCCATCATGATTTTACAAAGTATAAAGCAAACCTAATTGTTCACAATCCAACAAAATTAGAACTCAAATTAATTTGAATCTGAATTGGTCAAATTTAAAATGATAAAAAATTTCCTTGATTAGAACTCAAAATGACCTAAAATTTTTTTTGATGATTTTTTTCAAAAAATTTTACATAATTAATGTAATAAAATTTTTTAATTTATCAATTTAAATTTTGATTTAATAATTTTAATAAATAAAATTTTGCAAACTATGTATAAGTAACTTCATCTAAATCTTTCACACATCCGTCTTAACCCATATATATAATCCGAACACTTGACAATAGTGTCAAGGCACGAGACACAGTATACAGGACTGAGAAAGCAAAATATTCATTTCACGAGAACAAGCTCTTGAATTTATTTAGACCTGATTTTATCTAAAGAAAACAAGCAGAATTGAACCATTCTCCAAGCTGGAGTCAAGTTACTGCTCTTGCTTTTGTGATTAAGAACAACCAAAAGGTTTAACACTAGTAATAAATATATATAAGCATCATAGGAATGGACTTATTTTGGCTTGAGTTCCGACTGCATTAGCTCCTGGAAAATATTCATGACAGATTCAGGGAGACCCAATGATAAAATTATATTCTTACTGTCCTTTTCCTGAGCAAGGGTCACAGACAGATTGTCCAGGGTCGATGCTGGTGCAACTTGCTGCGGCTTTCCCCAACCGAAATCTATATCATAGAAGGCCAAGCTACTCCATTTACTAATCCAGCAGGTATTCTCCAATTGATATTGCCCTCTTGTTAACTCATAATAATCAATGGCTGACTGTATGTAGTCTTCATTCACCTCATTGATAGACTCGTGCACTTTTTTAACTGCAAACGATAATGGTTTTTGCACCAAATCCCCTGCCCTGCACTGGGCACATGACATAATGGTGCCATTGCCAAAGAAACAATCAGGTAATGCCGGCTTGAATTTTCGCCTGCCGTCAACGGCGGCGAGCATCTTGGTAGTTTTGTTCGGTTCAATCTTATATGCCTTGGTTCTCATAATCCACACTAACGCAGAAATCACTTCGAAGCTCGTAGGAGACGCAACTAATTCATCTTCCTTGGCCATTTCCTTAAGTTGGTGAAGCTTTTTGGGTTCAAAGCAGAAGGATTGATATACGATTGGTTCCTGAAATTGAAGGGATGTAGTTCTGACTGCGCTTTGTTTTTCCACAAATGCAGGATGGGGGTTATCGACTATAAGTGGTTGTCTTGGAGATATTATGGATCGATCGAGACATGGATCAACAGAAAAGGGCAGGCCTCTTGTTGTTTCAGCCCAAGAATTCAGGAAATCTGCTAATGCCTTTGCGTCAACAACATGGTGGTTCATTACTATTCCAAGAACAATCCCTCCACATCTGAAACTTGTGATCTGAACCCAAAAACGACATTAATTAATAGAAAACTCCAGTTCAATCCCGTCCAAATAATGAAAATAATAACTCCAGTGACAACAAAAATGTTAGTGAGATATGTAGGCTTGGGTTCGAATTGAAGCAACCCTCTCTCATCTCCCAATATACAAAAAAATTCCATCGACCAAGCGGCGGATTAATGAAAATAATAATTAAAATAATGTAAAACAAAACTACAAATGGGAAAGAAACTCAACTCTACCAAATAAAAATATATAAAAAAAGAAATAAAAAGAAAATTTATAACAAAAATAGAAAAGACAAAACAAAAGGAAGCAAGGGTGTTTGTTTTCTTATAACAAAGGCCAGCATCCATATCAAGCAGAGTTACACATGCAATAACTAAACATAATGAGTAATGAACTATCAAGGAACAACATTAAGTGTTTGAATTAAATGTATCTAGAAAAGAAAAGCTAGACAATTTCTAATTTGAATCAGTATCATCAATCCGTCCCCTTTTGGTTGATTAGTTCATTTTAGGAAATGGAGAAAAGGCCGAGGAGACAAGGGTTGGTGAAGGATCTGCATTTGGGTCCAGTAAGATGGATAGCCCTAGACATGGGACATAGCCGTTGTCAGTGGCGAAAACAGGTGGCAGGCAATGGCCATGATCCCCTCAAAAAATTTTCACCTCCATTATTCAAGAAGTATAATTTATACATTAATATTTATAAATTATTTAAGTTTGACTCTAATAAAATTAAAATATAATTAAATTATTATAGAATGAATTTAAGTAATTTGACTTACAAATTAAATCAAATTCAAATATTTTTATATTCAACTCAAACAATTCGTAAATTTAATTAAATAGTTCACGATTTTAATCGAATTTTTATATTTTAATATATTAAGTATTTTAATTGATAAAATATTTTAAACTTAAGTTTAAGTAAAATAATTAAACTTTTATCGAATATAAAAATCAAACTTATTTTTATATATTAATTGAGTTTAATCGAATAAAATTAAATAACTCAATTTTTATTTTAAGTTAAACTTGAATTAAAAAAATAAAATTTGATACGAATCTAATTTTGAGTAACATATTTTGAGTTACGCTTGAATTTAAACTTAATATTATATTAATTCGAACTTGATCGATTATATTCTTACTTTATTCTACAACATCTAATTTTACCAAATTCTTGTTTTGACCCTCTTTCCAATTAAAATTATTGTTTGACCCCTTCACACGTTTCCTGCCTTTGCCTCTTGCTGTTGTCCATTCTGTGTAAGCACCCAAAACCACAAACGGCAACACATATTTTCTTTCTTTTTTTTTTCTTTTAATTTACTTCTTGCATTTTTTTTCTGTACAAGTAGATACAACCATTTTTTTTTTCTCTTTGTCAGCCAGGAGTCATTAAAATTTCATTTTTTTCTAACTCCCATCATCTCAATTTTTGCCAAAAACAGTTGTCAGCTTAGAAAGTCATGTATACAATTTTCATTTAATGGATACATGTAAGCTAGTTATAGCATGAAAATTATGTGATAAGTACCTGCACTTAAAAGTCTGATGATGTTTACAGAAACATGAGATTACAGCTTAACAGCTGTTTCAATTTTGATAGTAATATATAAAATGCAAAATTTTGCAGCAGCTTAGTACGTACCTGCACTGTTAATGGTGGCACGTCCAATATGCTATCCACCTTGTCTAGATGGTGAACTAGTTTTCGAAACTTCACAGGATCAGCCCTGCTGATATCACCCAATTCTTCAATGGTGCTACTCGAAATTGCTTCAACAAATGGCACGCCCTCCCCAGTGCATCGCACCCCCATTTTCCCATCCCTTGTTACGGTAAGGCAACCTGCGAAAGGGTAAAACTCGACCAAGATCTTAGCCAAGGATTCTTTGATGATTTCAGCAGCATTTCCCATTCCTTTTCTGTAAGAAAATAAAATCTCTATACGGAAAGGGAATGTCTGGTCAAGGTTTGAAAGAAGATACAAGCCATCGAATGTTTTTTCAGCGGGGGGGATTAGAACAGGTTCCTGCTTCTCCACGAGTGCAACCTTTGTGGCAGTTCCATTGCAAGCCACCTCCATGTTACTGTTTTTTTATTTTGGTACTAAGAAAAAAGAGTTGAAGGCCGTAGTTTGGCTATTGGAAAATGAATTATAAGTAATCGGATTTGAACCGCAAATTAGCTGATATCATTTTTGATGCATGATTACATAAAAATGAATTTGTGGAACTGAATATCCAAGAGAGTTGACTTCGATCTTGACTGTTTTACAGAGACGTTTCTTTTGATTTTGGTGTGGAATTGTAGTGATAATAACTTGCTTACTGTGGTGAGTTTTATCTCGCTATTTTATTAATAAATTTTGATTTACAAAAAAACCAAAAAAAAAAAAAAAAAACACAATCTAACCAAACTAAACATTGAAGTTTATTATTTCTACTTTTATTTCGCAAGTTAATATAAGTTAGTACTGCACTCTTTTTTTATATATAAATTGAGCCTTTATTCTAGCAAAAAGCTGGATACTGACCCATTAATATTTTGCTTAATATATATTATAAAAGTAATAACATTGATAATTGATGAACGTTTACTAAAAATGGAAACTTTTTTACTGATACGAAATCGTGCCTGGTTCTACCTGCTTTAAAAGGTACGTTGAGGTCCTGAGTTGTAGTTTCACTCAAAAAATCAGGCTAGTAAGGTTGATTCAAGATTTGAGTCGGGATTTTGGTTAACGGTTGATGCATGAAACATTAAGGAAAATATAAGGTGGTGACAGAGAGAGAGACACTAACCAGTATCAGCGAGCAATAACAAATTCGATGGGCGCACCTCTTTGCTATGTATAATGATAAACTTTGGCTATCTCTTATCATGTTATCACTAAATTTTGAGGTTTATTTTGGAGAAAGGGTGACCATTGGAGTAAATATCTGATGATGACCATAAGAGGGTGGAAAACATTTTACTGGTAACCTTATCTTTGGGACCACAATGACAGTACCACGTGGAAGAAGCTCGCTGACCTTATCTCATCCAACGGAGGCCATGAACGTGTGATCGCCGTTACGTCATTTTCTTTTCTGTTGGTCTTAAACCTGTACCATGCATTTTAAAAAAATCAGTCATTGGGAAAATCTATGACCATTCCTTATATGGTTGGTCACGGTCGTTCAAGTTTTCAATCAGTTGGATTTTTTTTCCCACCTAGAGCAGGATACGCTTTTCTTAGCTATTGGAGCCTAAAAATTCTTTAAATTAAATGTTTCAAGCTCAAGTGAATTGAATTGTTTCCAGGTAAACACTGACTTGGTAATGAAATGTTAATTCTTTTCATATAAATTTTTCTATTACAGGGATTAATTGTTTAAAATGAGAACATAAAATTCTTCAGAATATTTTGGGTTTTGTTGAGTCATAAATTGGAGAGAACTTGGCAGTAGGGCCTAAGCCGTTGGCATTGGAGAAAGGAATTGGTAGGGAGGTTTTGAACGTAGTGTAATCTGTGATCGCAATATGGGAATCAATTTGTGTGGCGAAGAATATTCAAGGAGGCGGGTGGGGCAATCTAAGCTTAAGCCTTTGCTTTTTTGCTCTTATTGAAAAAATAAAAATATATAAGACGTCATAATTAATCATTAAAAATAATTATCCCTCTACGACATTATCCCATTACGTCGGGCGAATGATTTTTTATTATTTTAATATATATTTATAATTACGTTAATATGTAATTTAAAAATGATATTATAATAATTTTTTTAAAAAAGTCACGTGTTAACTTTTTGTAAAGTAAATCATAAAAATATTTTTATAATTATGATATAAGGTATTATATTAGTTTTGATCAATTATAATATGAAGATTAATTTGTAATTAAGATAGGAGAGGTATTATAATAATTTTAGTAAATTATAGGAGAAGGATCATTTTTATAATTGTGATAGTAAGAGCATCATAATAATTTTATCAACTTATGGTAAGGGGTACCATCTTAATTTTAACTAATTTATAGTAAGATGAGTATTTTTATAATTATGATAAAAAGGATATTATAGTCATTTAAGACACGTGTAAACTATTAATCAAAGAATCATAAGGGCATTCCGGTAATCTTAATGAAATTAGTAATTTAGTATATAGTTAATTTTATATTATGTTAAAATCTAATGTATATATATATAATTTAATAAGTGTATTATAGTAATTTTCAAATAAATTACCACATGCAAAATTTTTATAAGATGATTATAAAGATATTTTAGTAATTTAATATGTGATTAATTTTATATTATTATATTAAAATCTAATACGTAAATTAAAATGGGTGTTATAGTAATTTCAAAATAAAAATGCCACATATTAACTTTCTATGAAACAATCATAAGGATATTTTCATAATTATGGTAAATGGCACTATAATTATTTTAACCAATTTTGATAGGAGGATATTTTCGTAATTATGTTAAAAGACGCATTATATTAATTTTTGTCAATATGGTAGTAGGGACATTTTCATAATTATGTTAAAATAAACATTATGTTAATACAGGAGTCAACTTGATCGAGGATAGATGTTGAATATAAGCGAACCTTTGACACTTATCGCATTTTTTAACCAAGTCAGTTGCATCTTTTTTAATAGTCCGCCAATGTACCTCAACCTAAACACCTTGTAAGCCAATGGTTGAGGTCTAAGGTGTTTCTCATAAATTCTTTCATGGATCTATCTAAGCACATAATTTGCTTCTTCTTTATCTACACACCTCAAATATGGCAAGTTGGATGATCTCCTGTATAATTTTTCATTGATGATGGTGTAGCGAGAAACTTTCCTAGTTAATGCCTTTACTTGGATTTTGTCCTCGGATAACTCTTCTGTTATCAAATACACTCTCATTATAAACATTCATAACTTTTTCTCATTGATCTATCCGATGTACATTGCATTTGTGATTTTTTCATGTAGTTCTTTAATCAAGACATATGCTAAACTATCTATTGTAATCCCAAATGCCAACTTAGATAGGAACTAGCCAAAGTATTTTTTGACTTCACTATTTCCCTTACCTTAGCCTTAGAGAAATTTGTTAAGTGTGTTTGTACTTTCTCCAAGTGCTTTTTCATTCATTCTTTTATAGCTTCAAACTTTCCATTCACCTATCCAACCACCAGCTGTGAATCACTATACATAAAGATGTTTTTTACATTTAGGTTAGTTGCCACTTTTAAGCTCACAATCAGTGCTTCATATTTTACCTTATTATTTAAACCTTGAATTGAAACTTTATCATATACTGATATTACATAATTTTTAGGCTGATTAGAATAAAATCGACTCTATTTCTTTCATTCGTGGTTGACCTATCTATGTAGAGTTTTCATGTCCCATTTCTTTCTAGCTATCAATCATGCTAGGTTTTTTTTTAGGTTTAATTGAGGTATACTCAACAATAAAAACTGCTAACACCGATGACTTAAGTGCCAACCTCGACAATATATGCAAATTAAATTCACTTAGCTCAATTGTCTATTTGATTAACTCGCTTGATAGCTTGAGCTTTTGCAAAATTTGCCTTAATGATTGGTCAGTTAAAACATTCGTAATATAATACTAGAAATATGATCTTAGTTTCCTAGTCGATGTTACCATAGCATAGGATGGCTTCTCTATTTTCTAGTAGTTGAGTTCAGTCCATGTTAATACTTTACTAACAAAATATACTAGCTTCTGCTTTTCTTCTTCTTTTCAAATTAAAATCAAGTGATAGCCAAATCTATTATTACAATATAAAGGTATAATACCTCGTCGAGCCTTAACTTTAACAATATTAAAGGTAAAGGGAAGAATTGTTTAAGCTCTTCAAATGCTTATTGACATTGTGGTATCCATCAAAAGTCTAATATATTTTTGAATATTTTAAAGAATGATAAGCACCAATCTACCCACCTAAACATAAACTAAAGTAATGCCGCTATCATTTTTATCAACCTTTATACATCCTTTACTGAGGTCAGCAAGTTCGTATCCAAAATAGCTTGAACATTTTCAAGGTTAGCTTCTATACCTTTCTAGTTGATCATATACCTTAAAAATTTGCTCAGCATGACCCTAACGAACCCCAAAGATGCATTTACTTGGGTTAAGTCTTATGTTATACTTATTTAAAATGTTGAATGTTTCTTCTTGGTCTTTCAAATGTTTATTTGATCTTTTACTTTTCATAATCATATCATCAACATACATTTTAACATTATGGTCAATTTAATTTTTGAATATTTTGTTAACTAACTTCTGACAGGTCACCTCTACATTTTTTAGCCCAAATGGCATCAGCTTATAGTAGTACAACTCTTTTTTAGCCATAAAAACTATTTTTTCCTTATTTTTCTTTATCATTTTAATCTAATTGTAACTTGAGTATGCATTCATGAAGCTGAGCAAACAATGTTCAATGCTATCATCTACTAATCAATTAATACTTGACAGAGGAAAATTATCCTTTGGGCAGGTTTTGTTGAAGTTAGAGCAATCAACATACATTGTTCATTTTCCCATTGTGTTTTTTTACCATTACTACGTTAGCTATCCATTTAGGGTAATATGCTTCCTTGATTAACCCAACTTTTATTAGTTTGTCAATCCTTTCTCAATGGCTTTATGCCTTTTAGAAGCCAAGGACATTTTCTTTTATCGAACTAGTTTCATGTTAGGATTATTATGTTATCTATAAACCATTATTAAAAGATCGATCCCAAACATATCTGACAGGGTCCATGCAAATAGGTCAAATTATTCTTAATAGTTTTATCAAGTTTTCTTTTTAGTTGAGCTTGATTCCTATTTACATAAATTTTTCTTAATTATTTTCAAAAAATGGCATAAGTATCAAGTTTTTCGTTGGTTATGGTCGAACGATATTAATTTCAGGCCTTTGATCAATGATTTTTTTTTATTTATTTTGGTCAAGATTGATTCCAACAAAAGGATAATTTTCGACATGAATGTAATGTATGTTTGATTCATTTGTCCAATTTAAAAAAGAATTTATGCATTAAGATGCAAGTATGAGCTTTGCTTCGAATAAATTCTTTTGAATTCATTTGTATACTATTTATGGTATAGATTTTTATGTAAGCCTAAAAGCTTAACTTCAAAAAAGATTTACAAATTTTAAGCTTAAAAA